ATTGATCTTGTGTCCTGTTTCTAACGCATGTAACGCTATCTCAAACTTATTCTCTAGCTTCTTCAAATCAAACGAGGATTTGGGAACGTTTTTCAAACATTGCTTGTGTTCCTTCAACCTTACATTCACTTGTCTGGATGTTTCTTCAGTATTACAATCATGACAGTTGATCTCATACACAACATTCGGTTTGTTTAGAATCCTTTTTATTTCTTCTGATGTTCCACTACGGTATGGTATGACTACGGTGTACTTCCAGTCTTTTCGTGTACATTCCATTTTAGTTTTCTCTCATTTTTAACAATCTTCCATAAAAACTCTTTTGGGTAGTTGTTATTACTCGATAAGTTTTCCTGGATATATCAACCGCAACCGAAATCGCCGCATGTAACCAGCAATGTTACACATCACATCGCGACTGTATTCTCACCGACTGGCTCCCGAAAAGCTGAGGTTGGCCAAAAACGAATTAAATCACATGATAGAGTTAGGAATCATTCGACCGTTAAACAGCCCATGGGCACCCCCGTTGCACATGGTCCTTAAAAAGGACACCAACGATTGGCACCCAACTGGTGACTACCGACAACTGAATGCGTAAACCATTCCGGATCGTTACCCGTTACTTCACATTCACGACTTGACAGCTACCTTGAAAGGTACAACTGTCTTTTCCAAAATCAACTTGGTTAAAAGCTATAATCAAATCCCTATGGCCACTAACGACATTCCTAAAACCTCTATCATTACTCTTTTTGATTTCTACGATTTTTTGCGAATGCTTTTCGGCTTAAGAATTATTGCATAAAGCTTCCAAAGTTTCATCAATGACGGTAGTGCCTTTACTACTGAAAGGAATTTTGCACGTGTGTCGTTCATAAGGTGATCGTAAGAATTGACCTCTGCAAAACAGAACCAGACTTCGATGTTGTCTGGCCAAAAAAGGCCTTAGTTGAAATAAAGGTGGAGTCATAGTCATTAACTTATGTAACTTAGGTCTCTGTTTCGTCATGGCGAAATATCAAGTACAAGAATGGACGAGAAATATATATATATATATATATATATATATATATATATATATATATTTTCAAAAATACGAAAAAAGTCACAATATATATATAAATTAGAATAAAGCAATGATATATAGAATTTCAAAAAGGAACATACTTACATTTGTATTTTGGTGTACCAGACCACATCGGGCTCACAATGAAGATGTTACGGGTATTTGGAGTTTGACAGCGCTTTAACCAGTAACACCTTCTACTATGAATCGTACCCACCAAGTAAAATCAAAAGACAGAAGCGAGGAGGTTCGATGAAATATTTGATAGGCTATCAATATATCCAGGATCGACTGATTTAGACTGGCTAGCGATTGTTGAGGATGTTGAGGACGGCGTGATCTGGTGCGGATGCATGACCGAGAGCCTTCAGCTAGATGAGTGCATTAAGACTAGTGTGGTCAGCATTCAATGTCGAAGACCTACAGAGCTAAAAATGATTGTTACATCATGGATACAGTTTCCCGACCATTGTTGTTGTTGTTGCTATCTTGACTTCACTTCGCAGTTTACTTCAATCACACAACACATTTCTGGAGCAAACAATGTAGTTGCTGACGCCTTGTCTCATATAACTCCCTTGAAAAATTTCCAAGGATTTGACCCCCAATCTCCCAATTTTGTGGAAAATTTGACCCATTTTGGGGAAGCCGATAAAGAAAATTTTGGGGAAATGGCACCAAAACCCCAAAATTTCCCAAAACTTGGGAGATTGATCCTTCTTAAACTCACCCAGCTTCAAAAAGAAGACACTGATCTTCAGCACGAGTTATCTTCAACAACCTTAAAACTACGCATTAAACAGATAGGAACAGGTAAGCAAACCTTATTATGCGATACATCTATAGGTCGGAATCATCCAATCGTGCCGAAACATTATCGGCGAAACGTCTCCGACACGTCACACAAACTTTGTCATCCAGTTGTCCGTGCGACCATCAAGCTCATAGCAGAACGATTTTGCTAACCTGGTATGAATAAAGTCGTGAGGGAGTGGGCACGCTCCTATGTAAGCTGCCAGAAATCCAAGGTGATTAAATACAACAAATGTCCCTTAGGCTCATTCAAAACTCCCGATGCTCGTTTCGACCATGTTCATCTGGATATGGTAGGACATTTACCAGTTGAATCTCATCCGCATAAAGGATCAGATTCGGTTGTAGTGAAATTACTCAGAACTACTTTTTTTGTCATATATACATTTATGATTGAAATGAACACAGTTAAATATTTAACTAATTTCACTGTTAGAAATATTAGAAATTCAGAAAAAGTGTTTGCTAGTAACAAAAACAAGATACAGCTAAATAAAGCAGTCGATTGCTTCTTGAAGGCCAGATTTAAAAACATGAAGATTGAAAGAAAACGTTCTACTGTGATCTTATAGTGGATTACACTTCTAAGAAGTAGAAAAATGATATGTTAACTGGAAGAGACATATGTACAAATACTGTCTTCGATAATTCTACGCTATTCATAATCAAATCTCCTCCATTTTCTTTACAGATAATTAAACTGGTTTATTCCTGTCAAAATGGTAAAATACTGTTATGTGAGAATATGATGTAGATATGAAATATAGACAAAAGTAAAGTTCAACAAACCAATCATGTCTTAGATATTGACTTCAAGTTCACGGAGCATACGTCTAACTAACATGATGCTTATTTTCGCATTATTAATAATCTTAATGAGAAATAGTAAACATGTTAAGAAATCCCTTGTTCAAAGTTATTTTCTTTGATAGAGTTTCAACAGCTAGTCATATTTAATAAATTGTTTTAAATCTAAAACATCTGCTGTGTTAATCATCAACTGCTGCATCTAGAGAATAAGAGTTGATTATCTTAAAAATGACAATCCTAGTTGTGAAACAACTGCAAATCTCTTTTATTCATCGATCAAATAGTTTTTCAAATAAAAGATGTCTCGTTCATATACTGAAAGTTGATGAGAACGTCTTCCAGTTAATAAATTAAAACCAGATCATTGGCCTATTAATCTTTCAGTTTAGTCCCTAATTGTTCGGATATATAATTGATTGTTTCTATGATAGAAATTTTATACGTAAAAACAATTTCTCTGCATATTTAACAATCTACAAATTGAAGTAAATCTTTAGCACTGAAACTGATCGAATCCCTATGCAATGGTTCATATGATATTAGCAGCAATTTTAGTGCTGAGTTATACATTGAATTAAACATCAAGAATCAAGTGTAACAGTACATGTGCCAAGGTTACCAATGCCAGTCTTATCAGTGCATGTCATTCCATACGATCCTGTAGGGTTAATCAGATAAGCCTCAAACAGAGGGCCTAACTCTCCTGTTTGTTGAAATGCGTAATCGAAATCCATGGGAAAATCGATCATTTGTTATATAATAAATACTGAACGTCTCATCAAGAAATACAGAACCATTTTATCAGTTTATCACATTACGTTTCCTCTTCATAGTGGAAGTGATTGCGATCAACATCAAGAAACCAGACCTAAGTAGCGAATTGTGGTATTTGCATTTTATTGATAAATGGTTTGTGGATAATGAATAACATTATTTATAGCTCAATTTAACAGATTTACTTTGGTTCATGGTATTTTTGATTTCTAACTACTAGAAGACGTTTCAGACATATCTCTGAATTTTCACTACTTATATTAGCTATTTGAAGTAACTTATTTGTAATTGCTCTCTGTTTCCGTACACTGTGATCAAGCCGTACTATTCCAAATCCATCAAGTCCATTTTATTTTTACTTCTAATGTGCCTTCCACTTCTTAATATTCTTAATCATGGATTCAACTTTCAGAATTTTCATGAGGTGATTATTATCATTATTATTCTCACTATTACCATAATAATCCAACCACGGCAGTTCTCCTAGTTTATATATCATTTAAATTATTTTACTCTATCAATTATAAACACTCACCTTTCAGTATTTTTATTACCACTTTCTTGTATGACCTCAACAAATAGTGAAATATAATTATTTTCAATGCATAACTAACTATTTCGATCAATATTTTTAAGTACACCGTGAAGTGGCAATTGTAATCGGATTTCTGAATTTAGAACATGAACTTATTCAAAACACTAGTTCTCCGAAACATGCCTAGTTTTTTTGAACAGACATTATTCATATGAGCTATCATCCCATCTTAGATTTTTTTGCTTTTGTCCTGGTCTGAATGCCTTTTTTGCCTTCATCCTTTCAACTATTCACTGTTCTATTTATACACCCACATATATAATTTTTAAAGCTTTTACTTTAATATGTTTCAACACACATGTAGTGATTAAAAATGTAATCATGAAGAATTGAGGTCTATGATATATCTATATTTTAACACAGGATTAAATATCGAAACTTGGAAACTGTGAAACAGTTATAAAAGCTTAAATTGTGATCAGTAATTATTTCCACATTTATATCTTTCTGAAAGCAGAGTACCCGAAGGTATTTTTTGAAGACTTACAATGCTGTTTTTCAAACATCAGTAATCAAGAGCATAGTGGAATTCATGGTCAGATTGGATGATCACTAACATGGTAAAATATTAACTTTCTACCCATGTATATGGAGTATGCAGAGTGTATCAATAAATTGAAACTAATAGCCTGTATTTCGATATAAAGTGTGGGACATTATTAATGAACTCGATCTCTTCAGGCCAGTCAATATAATTTATTCTTTTATTTTGTAATAAAGTATTTTTGCTTCAAATGGGGATTTGAAATTTAACATGACTACAAATAACCCATGATCATTTCTAGACAGTACTTATTCATGTTGTTTGGAAATGTTAGGAAATTAGCGAGTGATTCTTAGGTTTTTCCGAACCTAGTTGAATAGAAATCGCGTTTAATTTTCATGTTGACTACCTAATTTTCATATTGTCACTCTGATAAACATGGGTTAAATTTACTGTTAAGCGTAGAAACTACTTAAACAAAACCTTTATTTAATGAGATAATAAAAACCATCTTACCATCTTAATGTTCTGTTTTTACATCCATCCTTCCACCAAAACATAAAGTTTTCATGTGTAGTTGGCTCGAAGTAAGGAAGAGCATTTGCAAGTATGCAAAATTCACACTCCGGCTTAAACGACCATACAGTTACAACACCCCTTTTATGCCAAGCGAAATATTCGTTGTATGCAGTGTCATTTTTATCAAGGTACTTCAGATATTTGGCCAACTCTTTCGGATTCTCAAATTGATCCACATGAATGAAAGAATGAGGTGGTGAAACCTTGTGATACTCTTCAATTGAGGCACCCATAACTATGGGTAATGCATTGTTCCTAAATAAACACAGATGTAAATAGTTATTTCCAGTACATTTTCGTCCAATAGCTATTACTGATGATGATACATACTTGAGGTTATTAAGGATGCCTGTGTTTAAAGTAATAGTGATTTAAACCGTCTAGTAACACAGAGATTTATCCCATAATAAAACGAAACGACCGTCCAGTGCTACCAGGTTTTCCATAGTGGTCTAGATTCAATTGACTCATGATCTCAACTGCTGAAATTACCATAATATCAACAAAATCCCCTTCTGATGTTTATCAACATGTGCGCACTAGTGACTTGCATTTAGAGGGAGAGAAGCGCATTCCAAACATTCTGGCATTGTTGCTCGGTGCTACCAAAAGACTGCATTTCGTCAGCGTCTTCACCAAACAGAACTATGTCATCTGCGTATTCCAAGTCGATAAATGGACCTCCTGGTAAGAGATCAATGCCCGAAAATTCAGTCGATGAGAGCGTTTTTTCCAGCAGTAGGTCTACCATGAAGTTCAGCAGAAATGGAGAAAGTGGGCAGCATTGACGGACAACACATGAGGTTGAGAAGTCAAATGACAGTTCGCCATAAGCTCTCACTCGACTAGTAGTGTTCGAGTAAAGAGCCTTCACAGGGTTTACGTACTTCTGAGGTACGCCTTTCAATGATAGACACTGCCACAGAACCTCTTGGTCTACAGAGTCAAATGCTGCTTTTAAGTCAAGGAAGACCACTATTGTTGGACGCCGATAAGTATGCCTGTGTTCTAGAACCTGACGAATGGTGAATATGTGGTCTATGCATCCACGACTAGGTCTGAAGCCAGCTTGATTCGCTCTTGTTTGCAGTTCACGAGTCTTAGTTAGGCGCCCGATAATTATCGAGGCTAATATTTTAGATACTATATTAGTCAAACTAATCCCTCTATGGTTATCACTGGATGATTTTGACTCTTTCTCATATGTTGGGACAATCTGTGATCGTGACCAGTCAGAGGAGATTATGTCCAACTCTCAGATTTTAACTAAAATATTAGTCAACATAATCGCTAAAATTGAAATACCATCCTTAAAGACCTCTGGAGCCAATCCATCTGGACCAGCTGCTCTTCCTCGTTTAGATTAGCGATAGCCTTTTGAACTTCATCTAGAGTTGGGGTACCTACTTCAATGTTCCAGTCACGCTGTCTGGGAATGGTGGGTAGTTGTAGAATAGCTGAAAGCCAGCTGAACTGTCCTCTAAAATGTTCCCTCCATCGTTCCAAACGTCTGGACTGGGAGCAGATGAGAGTGTCGTCTTTTTCCGAAATAGTCTGACTTACACTTGATTTATTAATTCCAGTTTCTTTTATTAGTCTGTAGAGTTGTCTTGTGTTCCCTATAGCCGCCACTTTTTCCATCTCTTTTGCTTTCGTTGCCCACCACTGCTCACGGTCGTTCCTTAGACTTTTGCTTAACCTAGATCGAATTTGTTTTCGCTCTTCATCGTGTTCAGAGCCTGATGGGATGAGTTTACGAAAATCCATCAGTGCAATAGACCTTGAAGAAATCCATTGGGTTTTTGTAACTCTTTGATTTAAATCACTAACAGATGTCACTGCTGCTTCCACAGCTGTTTGTATATGTTTTCAAGAAACATCGGGGTCAGCCTCGTTTTCAGAAATAACTAAGTGTAACCTCAGTTGTTCCTGAAACAGACCTTTGGTTTTCTCATTACTCAATTCAATTCTAATGGGTCTTTTTAGTATGGCTTTTCTGCGTCCAGTGAGGAGCAAGGAAATTAGTGCTCGTATTAAAGCATGGTCAGAGTCCAATCAGGTATTCCAGAACAATCTTCTATTGATCCTCTCCAACGATGACCGATGACAATATGGTCTATTTGATGCAGAGGATCGCCATGTTAGACGATGTCTCTCCTTATGCTTAAAATTTGTGTTTGCTAAAAATAAACGACTGTCTGAGCACAGTTGCAGCAGTCGATCACTATTATATGTTCGCTGAACCGGAATAACAAAATACCCACCTAAATGTCTTTCTGTGGGCATCAAAGTCGTCTGCTTCGCGCACTAAGTCTGAACGTTTAGCTTTCTGACAAAGTTCGGAGAGACAGAAAGTCATCTTTCACTTCATCCGGGCTGCAGCCAGTGGGAGCGTAGGCAGAAATGACGAAAAGACAACTACACGTGTCCATATGCTTCCGAGTTCTTATGGAACCGTTTAGCCGAACAGCACATAAACGACTGTTAACGAGGATCCACTCTAATAGTGCTTGTTCCGCCCTCATTATTAGTGCTACGCCCACACCTGTCAGTCCACGAGAACTAACTATCGGGTTGCCAGATACACAGAGGGTGTATCTCGTTGGCTCTCCGTTTTGCCGAGGTGAGGTCAAGTGAATGACCACACTAGGATACTGTATGCGTGTTTCGGAGACACAACATACATCAATGGTACTAGATTCTAGAGTCTCAGAGAAGGAGGCCTGCTGACCGATTTGACATAGGGTGCGTACGTTGAAGGCTCCAATGTGTAGTTTAGAGAGAAGTTTCAATAGACCTGGGACAGTGTTTTTCGCACTAGAATCGTTGGCTGTGGTGACACTTGGGGAGGAAGCCAAAAGAAGAATTCCGGGGTTGAAAGTCGATGTACGAGGGCGGTTATCCCTTCCCGGTTAACCACACCGTGGAAAGGTTCTTCTGGAGGTACCTGAAAAGGAAATTGGACTAAAGGTGGTCTTAGTGATCTGAGAGCGTAGTCGCAATCTCAAGGGACAACTGCTTGAGGTCGGTCACACACGACGTTTTCGTGGGTGATTTTCTTGTTAGCTCTGTGCTTGTTGGGACCTTACCGCCGGAGACGGATATCCGTGGGACAAGGCGAGGTGTGCATTTTCAGAGTCGACCTTTTCTAACCTCACCTCTCCTTGTGGGAGGACAGCATCGCTGTTATTCTGGTTGTCTGAAGGAAACACCTTACTGCTGTCACACCTCTGTACAGTCAGCTGTACGACATCGGAACCGAGCTAATGTAACGGCTAATAAATCTTCAAAATCAATAGCTGTGTAAGTCCTCGACATTGAATATTGACCACACTAGTCTTAATGCACTCATCTAGCTGAAGGCTCTCGGTCATGCATCCGCACCAGATCACGCCGTCCTCAACATCCTCAACAATCGCTAGCCAGTCTAAATCAGTCGATCCTGGATATATTGATAGCCTATCAAATATTTCATCGAACCTCCTCGCTTCTGTCTTTTGATTTTACTTGGTGGGTACGATTCATAGTAGAAGGTGTTACTGGTTAAAGCGCTGTCAAACTCCAAATACCTGTAACATCTTCAGTGGTATTTGACATTGATATCTTAGTTAAAATACAGCATATAAATTATTTTGACGTGTATTTCAATAAACCGTTACTTACATTAGTGCGTTGAAGAAAAACTTTTCTGTTATATAATCTTGACATAGTGAATTTTCAAAACTCAGGTAAAACTTGTAATGTTTTCGTACCAATTCAAAACATTGAGAACCGGAGCACGTCATCCGACCACATCGACCATACATATCAACCTAAAGTTAAAAACACTATGGTAAAAAGACTAATCCCAATCACCGATGCTTGTTTACAGAACTACCTCGTTCACTGAAATACAAAAAAAGTACATTTACCAAATAATCGAATAAAGAAGCTTGAGAAATTCATGTACGTTTTCTGATAAAACGAAATATTAGAAAATTTTATAGTTCAAAATACTTCAGAAAGGTTTTAACACATAAAGAAAGATTGAGAGCAGAACTGATATATATATGGGCGAACAAGAACAGCCTGAACAGAAAGGATGGTATTCAACTAGCAACCACAGGGCAAATATTCGTTAACAAGTAATTGGTCAGTTCTCCCTCTCCAAATGCTCTCACATGGCCACGTGTATACATTCACTGACAGGAAGATCCTACTCAACGCCTTCTCGAAACGGGGGTGTTGTTTACGAAATTGAGAGGACGAAAAGCGAATGTCCGGTGGAGGAGGATCCACCTAGGGGAGATGAGAAACCCTGATTTCAAACCCATGGTGCACAAGGGCACCAGGATCCTGAGAGAGCTAATGGCGTATGGACCTATTGTTGGTCATCGGCTACCATGGGATTGCATCTCCTGATGTTGCTCCATTGCCTTATGGATCAGACCTTTAAGTCGAAGTCTCCGGGTGTGACCCCCCAAGAAAACCACATGTTTCGGTCTTGGCACCCAGGCAATATCTCAGCCCACACACAAATAAAATGAAACAACGAAAATTACTGGAAATAATATTTTCGCTTTAATTAAAATTCAGACAATTCACATTCACTTTTTTATATACTACATCACTAGTCTACTCTCTTCTATTCTCACTTTATGTACCCTTATTTCTCAAATTGTACAGCAGCTCGCCTATGGCGGAAACCAAAAAGTGAAGATTAGCATTGGTTGCAATTGCATGACGCCATGAAAATGGCGAGTAAAGTCGCTGGCGGCTTCGCGAAACGTCCCGCTTATAAGCACTGAATTTCTTCAGGCTCCTTAAAACTCACTGAAGCCCGTCGATTTACTTCGGGTGACCGTGAGTTTGACCACAAATGAAGACAGTTGCGTAATCAAATTGGACAAAGCTTGTGTAAGGACTGAGAAGCCTGGTGGTCGGAGCCTGTTAATGGGCTGGAAGCAGCAGCTGCATCTGATAACTGCCGGAAGCTATTTCAAATCATCCGAGCCACAGTAATTCTTTATAAAAAATAGTTGTTTCTTTCGCTTTAAAAAGGGCTTCGTTAATAAAACGTTAGGTTGTAATTGAGTTATTTTGCTAATCCATTATAAGCGTAAATTGTTTTTACCTGCACATTCTTTGTAGTTGTTCAGTTTATAATTATGATAAAAAAACATTTCTGTGTATGCAGTAATGTTGTGTTGTGTGCTACTTACATTGACATAAGTAGTATATAACGCGAGTCAGGAATATAATGTCTGGCAGCAGAAGACTGAGAAGATCAAGAAGGGAAGAACGGGAATAGAAAGTAATTAGTATGGAAATGCAGGAACAATGAATGAACATTTTGGAAATCGAGTATTTGAATATGGTTTTCCTTTTTTTTTTACCAAGTAACTGTAATTTTGTCCTAGGCATAATTCGGTTTTGAGATGGAGAAAATTTGTAACTCAGGTGGATGGTTTTGATGAAGTATTGTTTTCTGAGCTGGGTGGTTTGGTCGTGGAATCTGGTGGTTGTTGCACTAGTAGATAGAGGGGCAGTCTACATAAGAGTAAACAAGAGACGTGGCTCAGTTTACACGATCCAGAGAGAAGACAAGCAGAAGCGCGTAAATGCCAGTCAACGGCAGAGATGGTTTCAAGATCATTATGAGTGCGAGTCACGAACAGCAATAAAGAAGATAACGGTACGGCGATCGGAAAGACTACGGCGACACCGGTTGTCCTCACCTGTGTTTTCCTTCACTACAATGTAACCCGGGTCCAGGGTTTCCTGTCGACTACCTCCAACTACCATCTAATCTCACAATAGTGCCCGCAGTGTCGAGTCACTTAGACTTGTGGCCACATTACAACATGGTCGATAGCATTCGATCTGCACTAATAAAGACTAGACAAGCATGACATTGATCACCACCTAGTGATCGATCAATTGTGAAAATATCTTCTTCGTCACGACTTAACGTGGCATCCAAATCGACGTTAGTTCGATAGTTGGTACTTGTCGTCTGTTGACATGCAGCAGGTGTATATCTCTCCTGAAGACGACGTATTTGGGGCTTCAATCCGATAATTGTATTGTTGCGACATTCAGCTATATATTTTTGAACTCGTGCTCCCATCCAATATCCAATCCGAAGAAGTACACTGAATATAGATCTCAGCACAGATGTTTTTCGATTCAGTATATGCATCTTCAGAATTCTATAACTTATCTCAACGAAGTTCGTATTACTTTGTCCAAAGAGCGTCTCTGATTACCGAAAAGCATTTGACCTTTTTTTGTTTCTTAGGCAGCAAGTGATCTCTCACATATCGGTAAAACGTTCCGTCTGATGCCTCGATACATGAAACATAAATTTGGAAGCTAAAAAAGGTTGTCATGCATAAAAATTTCTATTTACCTTTCCACATTCCGAGTGAACATCAGACGGAAGAGTAGTTGTATAAATTCAGATCGTAGAGTCTATAATGACGTTGGTAAGCAAAGTGCATAATATCGATTGCTGCTATCCCAGATATCAGAAGTGATCGCATTGTTTCAAATTCAGCCTCCGTTAACCTGCGCATCCAAGAATTACTGTCGTACCGTTATCTTCTTTATTGCTGTTCGTGACTCGCACTCATAATGATCTTGAAACCATCTCTGCCGTTGACTGGCATTTACGCGCTTCTGCTTGTCTTCTCTCTGGATCGTGTAAACTGAGCCACGTCTCTTGTTTACTCTTATGTAGACTGCCCCTCTATCTACTAGTGCAACAACCACCAGATTCCACGACCAAACCACCCAGCTCAGAAAACAATACTTCATCAAAACCATCCACCTGAGTTACAAATTTTCTCCATCTCAAAACCGAATTATGCCTAGGACAAAATTACAGTTACTTGGTAAAAAAAAAGGAAAACCATATTCAAATACTCGATTTCCAAAATGTTCATTCATTGTTCCTGCATTTCCATACTAATTACTTTCTATTCCCGTTCTTCCCTTCTTGATCTTCTCAGTCTTCTGCTGCCAGACATTATATTCCTGACTCGCGTTATATACTACTTATGTCAATGTAAGTAGCACACAACACAACATTACTGCATACACAGAAATGTTTTTTTATCATAATTATAAACTGAACAACTACAAAGAATGTGCAGGTAAAAACAATTTACGCTTATAATGGATTAGCAAAATAACTCAATTACAACCTAACGTTTTATTAACGAAGCCCTTTTTAAAGCGAAAGAAACAACTATTTTGTATTAAGAATTACTGTTTACAAAATAACTCAATCATAAATATGATTTACTTCTTTCTGAGAAATTATTGCTTTTTTGAGATAGCGTCGAAGTTGCTTCATTTACCGATCTTTGACACTTAGTGTGACGATTACATGTCCTATTCATTATTTTATCATGATGATTTATTGATACGTTGACATGCATGTAACGTTTATTAAAATAACACACCATGTGTTCAGAAAAAACCATTGGAAATACTTAGGTGATAATTTGTTTACTAATTGTGTATTAACCGGTTGACTACCGTTCAACTTCAGTAATCACTATCGAACATTAAAACTAGTTATTAATTTTTCCCAAATTTTCTTTTAACGATATACATATAATTTATCTTTTATGACGATAACTAACGAATTCAGTTTCATTTCTACTTGGTTGGAAAAAACTTTATCCCGATATACATTCACTGACAGGAATATAACAGGGTAGTGAAATGCAGTTGGTGTTTTTTTCAGAGGTTAAAATTTTTATCCAAACGCGAATGGAACAGTCAGACACAATTATTTATTCAAAATAAAATTCAAATGTAAAAATGCAAATTCTTACATCCAATCAAAGTATTTGATGCTATTTCAATTTGATTACTATAATATGTTTAGGATGAATGTGGAAATTTTCAATAGTATAATTACTTTGTTTAGATTGATATCGTGAGTTGATTAGTGTTATACTACCATTGAAAACCTGGAAATACTGTTTGAGGCACTTACTCACTGATGGCAACGGTGGATGGTCGCTCAATGTCGTAGATCAGTAGAAGTCAGACGTTAACACCGTTGGTTGCCAGGTCAGTGGTCTAGAGTTTAAGCACTTGCGCGCGAGACCGAGGGTCCTGGGTTCGAGCCCTACGTTCAGAGTCGTGGATGCGCACTGCTGAGGAGTTCCATACTTAAGCGAAAAAGACGTCCAGTGCTCCCAAGTTTTTAGTGGTACTTTATTCATGATATCAATTTAAACTGGGCAATTTCTACAACCCTATACCAAGAATAATTACCTAATATACCATCGATTATTCTACATTTATTGTTGAGTAAACAACTACGATAATTTACATCCATATTTAAAATATTTTTATTTGAATGTAATCGTGCATCTGAAAAAATTCGTATTAGCAAATAATGGTAGAGTAACCAACTTTCATTACACAATTCAGTTCATATCTCTTACTATTTACCTCAATGTATCGAAAATAACTAAAATTAATTATTTCCTCTAGATAATTGTGAGAAACAAGATGAATACGCTGGTATCAGTTAGATATTAGAAAAAAAAATCGGAAAATATAACCATGTAAAATAACGTATTGATCGAACTTCACGTCAGAAATCATGACCCAGATACTCAATTTTATTAAATGCGACTGTTCTCACTTCTGCATGCATTATCCGATGAATTATGACATTTATATTGTTTACATACATGAGGTTTTGCAAAGGTTTTGGAAAATCTATCTTATACAGTAAAATAGAAGCATGAATTGTGCAAGATATAGTCGTTTGAAAGAAATGGTTATGTTTGTTACTGTGAATAATTATCAGACAATTAATATTGAACAACTGATTGAATCATTTGATATAATCAACTTACTGTAATATATTTAGCTAGTTCATTTGCATATACATTTCTAGGACTCTTAGGATAACAGTTACTCACTATCCAGGCAACAGCTCTATCTTTTCCTTTGGCTATATTCTCCAATTTTGTCGACTGGATTGTTTTATTGATATCGTCTGTTTTGGGTTCATTCGGTGTATACATTCCATAAGGTGTGCGAATAGTTGAATCAAATCGATATGATGCAGTGAAGTTAATCTGAGAAATATACAATAATTAAAATGAATGTTTCTATCGGACAAATTTAAAATCCTAATAGATATTTAAAAGATCCTATATCTATTTTAAGTACAAGTGAAATCTTTCACTGTAAATGTGCAAAGGTAAGCCATGAGTAGATGCAAGCATTTAAAACATTTTGAAAAAATTAGGCCAAATATATTAATCGTCACTATTATGTATAACACAACGCAAAGTATAAAGAAATCAACTGGGAGAAAACTCAACAAGACAATACAAATTTTCGCTTTTATAAAATTTTTACTTATACGGGGAAGCTTATTTTTATTGATTTACTTAGAAAGATCTACACACAACAACTATGGACGAAAAAAATTTTTAAGTTACTTTAAAATCATATGCGTTTTATGTACTGACCTCAGTTAGCGGTGAACACTGTTTACAATTAATTATTGATTGCATACATACTTTCATTTACCTATGTGCAAACTTTAGATAAATATAGATCACGAAAATCTACGTACACTTCTTTATTGTTCCACGATTATGTTTCAAAAAGATAGCCGATGATTATCAAATATCATTCCATACCTTATAAATAAGTAACATTTTGTAATGTCATTGACATATGACATTTACAAACTCATGTAAACATTTTGCTAGACTGAACACTTAGAAAAGATTTTCTATTGAAATAACGTGAAAAAAACCTAACGCGCACTTCCCAAGCCCAATAACCAATTTACATGACTTCTTAAACATACAAGTATTCATTTTCATTATTATTAACGACGGAACTACAAAGAATGTAAAGGTAAAATCTTTTAATGATTTAGCAAAATAACCCTATTGAAATCTAACGTTTTATTAACGAAACCGTTTATAAAGTGAAAGTAAACAACTATTTTGTATTAAGAATTACTATTTACTAAATAACCCAATCATAAATATTAATTGCCTCTTTCTCAGAAATTATTACTTCTTTGAGATAACGTAGAAGTCGCTTCATTAACCGATGGTTTACGAATCGTTCGAGTGTTTTATACACGCCCTAATCAGTATTTTCTTATTACGGTCTATTGATATGTGGATTTTTTAAAAATTAACATACCATATGTTAAGAAAGAACTTATGCACACAGGTTGAAACATAAAAGATAGGGTTCAACCTGTTTATCTCAAATGCATCGTTATCACTGAATGGATTCAATGAGGCTTTAGCAATACAATTATGTATGTTGGATTCTTACATTTTGACAAGTACATCGATGATTCACTTACAATTATTCACCATTGAACTTGCACTTTTATTTATTTATTTATTTACTTATCCTTCCATACATAACATAATAACACAGAATACCAATAATTAATCTCACACATACATACATACTACGCACTCTCACACACACATATATATACACTTGATTTTATTACAGATAATTACTTCCATATAGTTGAATTTTTCACACGATTTGCAGTTAACTGACTCATTATATCTAATGTTACAAAAATCAACATCCAAACATTTGATTGGCTTAACAACATACAGTTATGATTGTTAAAAGCTATATATTTCTTTGATGATTTTAATTTTGATTATTACCCTGAAGAAGTCCAGACAAGTTAGCTGGACGAAACGTTGGAATTATTTAAATTTCAATCGCTGAGATTATTTCAAATATAATTTTCATATATAATGACTTCTCTATACTCGGCGCCCAAATTTTGTCAAACTATTCGTTCTAATCTTGACGAATATACGTGACAAAATTTTTGTTCATTTTCACCTCAGTACACACTTGCGAAACCAATACACCAATAACCGATCAATAAATTTTTCTTTCACACCCTACAACTTTTAAGAAATGGGTGGTAGGGAACCATCATAGCCGTCCATTTAATGTCAACCCAATCCAATAAAGTTAAGTTTATTCAAATTTTAAAGAACAAAGTAGTGTAATAACATTCCTTTTTGTCTCCATCTATTTAACTACCATACATCATGGAGACAAAAAGGAATGTTATTACACAACTTTGTTCTTTAAAATTTGAATAAACTTAACTTTATTGGATTGAATATTCAAGACTGATAAACTCACTTTATCATTAAGTTCATCACTAAATCGAGTATGGAGTGCTGATTCATACTCAAATGCCACCCAAGCCTGTTGTTGTGGACGCTTTCCGTAAGGAAACTGTTTGTTTGGAATTAAAATAAGATCACTTTGAATCCAACGAGTTGTATCAGTATGGATAACACAATTGTTCACTGGACAATTCGTTACATCTTTGTTCATATCTGCCAACATTTGCCCGTAGATAATAATTTCATGTTTCTAAAAAAAACATTTTAAGATAATTTCGAAGCTCAGACAAAATGCTATTAAAATACTACTCAAAATGTGTACAACATTTGGCATACTTGTTATATCCCGACGAGAATTATGAACGGTAACTTTTGAGAACTATTTATGGACCAATAATATACATGTATTATTATTGTATAATCGTTAAGTAGCTAAACTATACATATTCATGTTTCCTTATTATAAGCTTTATTTTTGCCTATAAACTATTGTTATACGATTTACAGTTCTTGAGTTCTGCCCAGTCTATTAATTACAGTCTCCCACATTCACAGCCACTTTTGGATAGATCTTGTACAAATGTTGTTTTCCATTTTGTGGTGCGATGTGGTCTGTTTGCTTTGTGTATAAACCCAGTATGTTTAAAATACATGATTCATATTGCAGAAGCTGAGATTGGTGTTCTGGACTCAACAGGCAGGGCTATGCAGGAAGAACGACCTATAATTACTCTAGACTGCTCGTACGGGTTTATGCGTCATTAGTCAGGTAGATAAGTCACTATTCCCTAATTGGCGGTATCATAACGTTATATATTAATATGGAACATGGCTACAAGTTATAATGATATTTTTGTGTATTTTAATTAGGCTACTCCATGAAGAAGAATGTCAGTCATTGGTGAAAACATTCCAAAATTAAATATATTTTCACAAACCAACCAATTATCACGAACAAACCGAAACAGTAAGGCTTCGTTCCGTTTGTTTCGTTTGAACGTGCTTTCGATTATGACACGTTTACATGCAAACAAGATAGTCACCACTAACTTAAAAATAATTTATAATACAAGCGAAATATTTTAGTTCACATAATGTCAGATATTGAGTACGAGTTATAATACTACCAACAATATAAGAATTCTCATGAAACGATATAAAACATGGTTAACTGGTGTATATATCGATTTAATATAAACATAGCACAACTAGTTGAAAAAGTTTAAGGTGACTAAAGTTTGATGAGAAAAGTAAAACGAGAATGATTTGTAAGGGAGCACAATACGAAAATAAAATCGAATCAGTTCAATAAAGTAAAATAGATATGCGACTTGTTTCATATACGTGAATTGACAACATCTACAAGAGAACTGTGAAAATTAAGTCTTTATCTGTTCTGACCGAAGTGTTTTGTATTAGATATGAAGAATATGAATGTATGTCACTTTCGAGGAATTGTTCATGACGATTTCATTGTTATTTTGGAAATTTTTGCGTCGTCATTAGTTCTGATTTTGGGCTACTCATATAGTTGATGAAACCACCTGATTAAATATGTTAGTAAAACAATTTCTGAATAGGGAGATGGAAGAACTGTTGATATTTTTGGTTTGGCAAATGTGAAGAACGTTAGTGTAATTTCTTTTTTGGATGAACAGGAACCAGCTTAAAAACTGTGATGAATTTTCAGCCAGTTTTTATCCATTTAGAAAATAAATTCGCTTGGTGTTTTTTTACTTGTATCTACCCATTGTTATTTAGGACTGAAATTGATCAGTCTCTTGTTGGCATATGTGCATCCTGTGCAGATTGTATTGATATAGCCTTAAGTTACAAGGTTTTTAAGCAAAGATGGATAGCTGCTAGCAGTGGAATCCAGGACGCGCGTCTCGTCCTATTCAGGACTCATCATCTGGATGTACCTGCATCCCTGAGTTGATGTCTCAGTCCCGGAGTGTACATCCATCTTTTATTCAGAAAATAGCTTCTTACGAAAGCATCGTTTATGGAAAGGAAAAGATTACATTTGAAAACGTAAACATGTTACGGATTTGCTAGTCTCTTGGAGGTTACTCTAACGTAAAACAGGAAAAGAACGACGTATAAATTCGTCCTTATGAATACAGATTATTTGTTTCCTCCGAGTCTCATAAGAACTCAAACTGAATTTTAAGAGTCCATATTCTGTTTCCATATCAGATGTGGTACAAAATGCTTGATAGTTTTATGTATAAATGATTTTTATTGTAGAGTAGAAGAGATGCTATTTGATTAGTTCGTTCATAAAATATAATGCTCCCAGGTTTATATTTGTTCAAGGACTAAAGGTATGGGGTTAGGAATTAGGGACAGTGTCGATGTGTCTACAGAGAAAGAGTTAAGCATTTGATACACTCTGTGATTGCAGAAAAAAGCTTTATTTTTATTTAGAAGTTCTAAGCGCTAGAGTTATTTACTGCTCGTTATACGTGATATATGAATCTAGCTAATAAACCTAAAATTTGTTTTCTCTATTCCGATTGACCCATCCGTACACTATACTTTTATTGTTTTCCGATTAGGGTATGAGACTGAGAAGAAAAGTGTATCTGAATGGTCTAAACAACGGACTTTATTATGTGTAAAACAACATAATAATTAAGTAGGTTACCTCCAGACATGTTATCAAGAGCACCCTCATTAAATGAAAATAGAAAGTAATCAGGTCCGAAATAAGATTAGACTAACCTTGGTTTTATTTAACAGAAGACGCCCAATCATTACGTCACTGAAAAGGCATCATGTATACAAGAATGAACATTGTCTCACTTTCTGAAAGCTTTGAAGTTCGGATAATAAACAGGCTGTTTGACCACATTCCATATTGCTAGGTTTTGGTAGTTTGAAATATACTGACCTATTTCGTTTAGGCTAAGACCCCATATGTACCAAATTCCAAAGGTAGCAGTTGAGACTGCCAAGATTATCATAACTTTGAGTCTAACTCCTGAGTTGATTCTAGTGAAGTCTTTGACAGTCTCCATAGTGAGATTATTAAAATAAACCTTCGTCTCAATAAGTTTCATTAATTTATGAATATGTGTTACTAGTAAATTTAGAACACCAATAATTAAGCTTTTCAGTAGTTTGAATGTATCCAATCCGATTTAAGTATAAAACCTAAAAGAAGGTCTACCCAATTAGACTGCTCATGTTCTATAATATGGTCAACAACCTTGCCAAAACGATTAAACGGAATGAATATAATTGGTGAAGATCAAAATTAAGCATATATCTTCATTTTGTTTCGGATTAAAAACGAAGAAATGAAAATATTGAATTCCAGATCAAAGGTTAGATGATTTGAGTTGACAACACATTACTGTATACTGAATTGATCAGAGAATAAATCAAACATCACTTCACGAAGGTAACGAACATCAGGCGTTATGCACATAGTATTATGTGTAGAGATTTCATTTCCTCAATAAGTTATTTCCTTAAAAAACTTACCGGTCTCCTGAAATAGTAACAACGAGTACTTGCTAGAATTCTATGATTGATTTATTAACCAGTTTTATAAATGATTAAGTTAATAATAATAATAATGTTTCTCGAAGTTTTTTGGAAAGTAAGTAGGACAGCTTATGAAGGTGAACATAAAGGTGATTTCGTGATTTTTTACTTTAGTTATGAATAATTTTCTGTTGTAATGTTTACTTTGGCTTCTTTTTCTTTAGGGTAACACCGAAGTGAAACTTTTATCAAACAGTAAAAGCTTTATACATCAGGAAGCATACTTCCTCTACACAGTCACCATCAGCTTTTGGTATTAGTCTTCAATTCCATAGGTGAATTCTGATATTTTCGCTTTTGGTAATTATAAGAAATCATACTTACACATATAATTGATATCTCTGGCACTAAAATAACTTCTATAAACGAGACAGTTTAGGTAGTTTCGTCATCAGATCAAGGTCCATCGTTCAGGTTAACTATTGAATTTATGTGAGTATAAAATAATTTGTGATATGAAATTTTTGTTGGGTTTTAAGTATGATAGGCACATACTAGTAAATGTATCCCATAAATAGTGCTGGAGAGAGCTAATTACTCATTACCTCTGATTCAATAGAATCGTTTTTGAAAACATTACCTTTCGTTGCTGGCAACGTTTCGCTTGGAGACCTAGATATGAACAAAGATGAAGGTGAAGGTGAAGGTCAAGATGCATAAGCGGTGTTTCACAGGGTGATACGTGTTGAAGTTTCAGTATATTAACCACCGTAGTAGATTTTTATTCCTACTCAATAAACCGATTCGTATGGGTAAAAACTGGAGGATATTCTCGTTAGTCTTTGTTTCAAACATTTTGCACAATTCAGGTAGTCTGTTAGAAGTAGATATGTTTCAGGGAACTAGTAGATCATGCCCCTAATATTTTTTTATAAAAAGCGCTGATTTTATGAAAAATTGCACTGTTTTATTTCCAAATTCCTTTCAGTAACTATGGAGCTTCAAGAATTTGCGAGAACACCAAGGTCTAATAATGAGACATTTCATGAATCAACAGGAGAGTTTACTAACCGTTTTCATGATGTCTTACAGATGCAGTCAGTGTTTACCAGTGCGTTATGACAAACGATTCCAAGAATTCAGCTGGGATGAGTTAAGTATTTGATCAATGAAGTGAATACACGACCGACTGATGTGAGTATCGAAGTTGCTTAAAAGCCAAAAATTAATATATTGCTCAACGAACAAATTCTGAATTTCAAACTGACCAGGGTTCAAAATGCTTAAACATCAGCTAAATGATTGAATACATAAATGGCCTTTCATTTCTACGAGAAATATTCACCCGCGATAGAAAGGTTTGTCAGGTTTCAAATGCGAAAACATGGTCAATAGATAAATGATGTGAACGATAATTAACTAACTTGTCAGAGAATTATGTCCACTCTATAATTCTTGGTACAAATCTATATGTTGGTATTATAACTCTGATTTAACTACAGACTGTGTTCTGTTTGTCGACTGAGATAATTTGCGTTAAATAATCTACTGTGTGGTTTTTATTCAGGTCTTGATTTATGGTTGCTAATAATGCATTTAGATATGACATGATCTAGTCTATCTAGTGTATCTATTTAAGGTATTATCCTATTGCCGCACTGTATCTTTGGAATGAAAATATTATATTTTTCCGTTACAATAATAAAGAGTACAAATTTCGCTTTGCCAGTATTAGCAGTCATAATTGTAGGTGAAGCCAAATCTCTTACTTATATCCGCCAAAAATGATTTATTATTTTAATATATCACGTGATTTGACCATTAATTAGAGACATCAGCCTATACAAACAAACTAATGACTCATAAACCCGTAGCAGCCTAGAGTCCCTACTGGTCCTCTGAAATAGTAGCTTCTCTTCCAATCCGGACAGTTCAGACCAGAACGCCAATATCAACCTCTACAATATGAATCACATATTTCAGACATACTAGGCTTATATACAAACAAACCAGACTGCATCATACGATAAATAGAAAATAACAATTAAACAAGATCA